AATTATGCTAAATATTTCTCTTTCTTCCTCTGTTAGTTTTATTTTTCTCATAATTTTATTATTCAAAATATTTATTTAGGGTTATAAATTATCAATAGAAATAAATATTAATTTAAAAATGAAAATTAATTATCATCGAGAGGACTTAATAAAGAGAAGCTTATTTGTATAGAGAAATAATTATTGAATATAAAAACTATTTTTATTTTAGTCCACTAAGTTCTTGTCATAAACATAAACAATTTATTAAAATATTAAGGACTCCAGCACAAGAAATGTTATAAAAGTGAGAATATCATTGATAAGAATCGCATCGTCATATCATTTACTTATGTGGAATATTAAAAGAAGAAAATTTGAAAAAAAGTCTATTTTAAATATTAATTAACATAAGATTTAATTTAATTAAACAAATATTACAAATCTAAGATTAAAACATCATGAATAATCAATAAGTTTACTTGAAGAATATAATATTTTATTTATTGATATGGTCATGGGAGTGATAATTTTTTATATATTTAATTATAAAACTTAGTTGACTTCATTAAAATTTATATATTATCTTTTTTTGATGATATATACAGATAATTCTTGGAATCATTAATCAGTTTATAATATGTTAATATTTTTTACGCATTTATTTTTATATCAATTTATTTTTTTAAATTATGTCTTAGAATTGTAAAATGATGATTTTGTAATGTAACAAAGATTAGGTTAATTTAGAAAATACTGTTATGAAAGGAAATTTTAATAAATTATACATGAAATATTCAAATAGTTATAATAAAAATAATTTTTATAAAATTTTCATGAATTAATGAATATGTTTTAATAAATTTTAAAATATATATTTAATAAAAAAACGATATCCATAGACGGTTAGAAGAAGAAACACTTAATAAATAAACATTATAGTAGTTATATTCTATAAATTTTTCTAAAAGTTTCATAAATTACCATCTTCTCAGGACATATACATTGAAATAATATGAATTACCGATGATAGCAATCTATTTTTTGGAAAATTTTTTAGTCTATGCAAAAAAATACTTGTAAAATGTAGCTTTATTCAAATAAAGACAAAATATATATCAAAAATTTGTAGTTTTATAACAAATTAAATTTGTTTCTATTGGTTGCCTCTATTAAAGACATTTTTTATTTATAATTGCACAAATTAATATTATGCTGATTAATATGTAAAATATTTCCCATTCCAAACATAGCATGTTTATTTATATATAAATACGTATATCAAAGGAAACAAAAATTGCAGTATTCAATGTTCCCATGTGGTCGCCCACCATAGTACTTGTTGAACTCACACGGATTTAACTTCGGAGATCTAACGAGTTCCGGTGCTTTTCCATGGATATGACCGCAACTGATAACAAATTTATTTTGCTATATATAGTTAAAAACTTACAATATAATTTAATTTACGGTGATTCTAGTTGGTAAAGTATTCTAGCTAAAGCTCAGTCTCATGATATAGGGACGGAAAATGAAAATTTTTTGACGTATATGGGACATATAAATATGATGTTTATATTGAAGATTAAACCTTAATATGGTTTCAATTATAATTACTCTTTCCATATCAATCTGTTAAATTCAAACAATATTCTGATATCTGTAAACATTAAATGCAAATACCTTAACTATTTTCCCTTTATCTTAAATTATATCACATTCTTTACTGATTTTTTCTTGTATTAAATGTAAGTTCAATAATAAAACTGTTATCTGATTGACAGAAAATATATTGACAGGGTTATCAATATTCCTCCCATATTAACAATATTTATTCTAAAAATATAATTACTAAAAAAAACATAACCTTCGTAGATAAAAGTATATCCTCTATCTGTCATCAATTCTTGAAAAACTACCCCAATACTCTCACCTAACACTATATAAGTAAAAAATTTTTTATGGTGATTACCGGAATTGATATTTTTCTTATAGTATAGGCACAAAGGTTGATTATAAATTATAATTCTAATTATTATTAATAAAAGACAATTATCATATGGAATATTACATATAATTTCAAATGTATTTTCTTTTTTAATTTAAATTTGTTTTTTATCTTGAGAAAATAGAAAAACTAAGACTAATTTGAATAAATTAAATATGGAAATTGTGACAATTCTTTTTTAAGACTTGAGGAGATTGTTATAACTTTTAGCATTAAAATAAAAATATAATCAATGTATAAAGATACATCTGATTACCAAGGATAACAAAGCATTTAATAAAAAATTAGGTTTAAATCTATTATCTGACTTATAAGAAAATAAAAAATATTTCATAAAGTAAAATTTAATTAAAAATATAAATTTTTCAATCAAATGCTCCTCTTAATATGAAAACTAATTCTTTTGATCCTTCTAACTTTATATATTTTCTTTTTTAAATAAATTTGTATAAATATACGTCATGCATTACTCTTCGAGTGACATATTGTTCTTTAATTTATTCTTAACATGCAACTAACAATATTCAATAATTTAATTAAGAATATAAATGATACTTTAACCTGGAAAATTTTTTGCATAATTTACTGTCAAATGAGAAAAAGTGTCAATGTTAGCTAAGTTTGATATGAAATTCAACGGTCACTAATTATTGTAGTTCTTGGAAGTAAGAATCTTCTATAATAGGAATGAATGTATTAGAATTTCTATTTTGAAAGTAAATTAAAAGGGCATTTTTTGAATCTCTTTCAAGTGCCATAATGCCCCTGTTCTTGGATATATCTTACTACATCATATTTATGTTTAAAGAATTATAACTCATCATCTAACTATTTCCATCACTATCTTTTGCTTCTAAAAACATTTCATCTCCAGAAATAAAATATGTTTCTAATGCTTCTTGTAACATTTGACTCCATTTCATTACTGTATTTTTGTCCTAATTCAGATCCACGGCTATGTAACTTTGTAAATCATCTTTCATTTCCATACGAGGAAAGATAAAGTATACGTAAAAGGATGTTGTTGTATTTTGAAATAATGATCTTTCCTACACAGATCGACATAGTACAAGGTAGTTTACAGGTTCATGTATAATTATCAGTTATAGTAGTTATATTCTTAAAATTTTTCTAAAAGTTTCATAAATTACCATCTTCTCAGGACATATACATTGAAATAATATGAATTACCTATGATAGCAATCTATTTTTTGGAAAATTTTTAGTCTATGCAAAAAAATACTTGTAAAATGTAGTTTTATTCAAATGAAGACAAAATATATATTAAAAATTTGTAGTTTTATAACAAAATAAATCTGCTTCTATTGGTTAACCCCTATTAAAGACATTTTTTATTTATAATTGCACAAATTAATATTATGCTGATTAATATGTAAAATATTTCCCATTCCAAACATGACATGTTTACTTATATATAAATACGTATATCAAAGGAAACAAAAATTGCAGTATTCAATGTTCCCATGTGGTCGCCCACCATAGTACTTGTTAAACTCACACAGGTTTAACTTCGGAGATCTAACGAGTTCCGGTGCTTTTCCATGGATATGACCGCAACTGAAAATCAACTGTTGCGTGTATAAATAACACAAAATTAAAGAAATATTTTTCATAATTTTTTTGTTTTCA